TTCAGCAGCTTGGACATCTTGCCCCGTCCCGGGCAGCTGGGCTGAGTGGACACATGGTGGACACACTGCACAGGCTTGGCTGGGACGACAGGCTGCGGGGGCTGCGAGGGTGGGCTGCTCACCTGCGGGGAAGAGAAGGGGCAGGTGTGAACAGCACCCATGAGGTCCTGCCTCTGAGACTCTGCCCTCCCTCCTTCCCCCTCCTGCCCTGCCCCAAGCCGGCTCCAATCAGCCACAGCAGCCACAGCGAAGGGGCGATGGTGTCCCCAGGCTGTTGGCTGTGCTGTGTGGGATGGTGGTGTGCTACCCCGGAGCCCAACCAACCTGAATTTAACCCAGTTCCATCTCCTACTAGTGGGTGACCTGAGCAGATCTGGGCCTCAGTTGGCCTATCTGTTAAATGGGGACAATAATACCATCCCTTAGAGGCGAATAAAGGGAAAGATGTAGTGGCATCACATAGCATCCCAGAGCAGAGTGGCTGGAGTATGGATTCCAGAGCCAGGCCCCCGAAACGTGAATCCCAGCCCCACCACTCGCAGCTACACAACCTTGGACAGAGTTATTCACCTCTTGGTGCCTCAGTTTCCCCAACTCTAAAACGGGAATAAAATGGTCCACACGTCCTAGAGGCATCCTGAGGATTAGATAAGTTGGTGTCTGGAAAGTGCTTAGAAAAGGGCCCAGCGCATCGTGAGTCTGAGTTCTTAAAATGAGTCCCACCTGCGTCCTTAGGCAGATCAAGCCCCTGGACTTCTCTCCACCCCGCGAGCAGCACCTGGCCCCCAAAATGCAGGTCTCTTAGGTTCTGGTTTCTCACACCTGGTGTCTTGCCGTTCCACCCACCCCCGGTTTCTGATTCACAGTTTTACTCTGAACATCAGCAGAAGTTTCCTCTGAAATGCAAGCGCCCACACTGATAGCCAGCCTCCTGCCAGCGCACTGCCCTTTCCTGGGTTCCTCAACCCTGACAGCCAGCTCAGCTCCACACCCCACAGCTGCTGCCCGGCACTGACCAGCGCTTCCTCCTCCACGGGATAACAGGAGGACAGAGGAGGAGATGGACGCCCAGAGGCTCAGAGTTCACTGCAGAAGCATCGTTCTGCCAGGAGAAGAAACACCTTTCCCTGAAGTGTAGGAAGTCCAGATGTGCAGGGCACAGCAAAGGCCTCAAAAGGGGCAGAATTCTGAAAAATCTATTTTCAGTGATGAGTTAATATTTGTAAAGAGCTTAGAACAGTGTCTGGCGTATAGTAAGTGCTCTATTATTGTTATTCTCATTAGTAGTAGCAGCAGTACTCAGAGTACATTAACATCTCCCTATTCTATGCCTCAGTTTTCTCATCTGTAAGCTGGGTCAATGCAGACGTACTATCTCCTTTCTAGCAAGGGAAACAGGGAGGTCCCAGAGCAAGATCAAGAAATCCGAGTCCATCCCCTCCATCGTGCTTCGGGCACAGCCCCAAGACCGCCCAGAGTCCCAGGCTGGAGGGGAGCGAGCTGGGGAGGGTGGGGTGATGGTCCTGTTTTCCTGGTGTATCTAGGCTACAGCCTCTGGGAAATAGGCAGACTTCCCAGTTTAGCAACATCAGGTTTCAGGTCGGCACGATCCCGGGCTCTCTGGCAGCAGAGGCAACGGGCTGCCTCATTAGAATGCCGCAGGTGTGCCTACCCTCCACTTGGGATGTTGGTCACGGTCTCCAGGAGGCTAAAAATAGACTGTCAATTGCACACTCCCGTGCTGGCTGCAGTCACCTCTAAAGCTGGAGGAGTCTCTGTGAATGAAGCTCACCCCAATCATGACTCCATTTAAATATATTAAGGAGAGAGAAAGTCCCAGCTGGACCAGGCTCTTGCATGGTCAAGGTCACAGGGGCCTCCTGCACCCCTGAGCTCCATTCAACCCTGAGTTCAAGGTCCCTTTCACGGGGTCCCCTGAGATTCTTTCGACGGTGTCAACTTACGAAGTGCCCACCACACACCACGCATCACGCATCACGCGTTGCATCACGAGGCAAAGGATGGATGGATTCAGGGTCCGCTCACCTCAATAACCACCGGTCATGGGAACAAAGAGGTGCCTGTGAACCAGGCCCTGGGGCCGGAGGCTGTCAGCCCAGTTCGGCCTCCTGCAGGGGGGGACTTGCGCTCTGCCCATCGGCTAATAGGGTGCCCTGTCCCAGGAGGCTGGGCCTGGGGTGGGGAAGAGCAGTGGAGTATGATCCCCAGGAATCACCACCCGGGCTGGTGCTTCTTATTCCACAAACACCCACTGAACGTTGGTGGCTGTGAGTGCTGTATGGTCCCGTGGAAGAAACAGACGTGCGGGAACCGTGCTCTCAAAGGACGTTGTCTAGTGGAAGCAGAAGACCCCTGAGGCTCCACTGGATGATGGAGAAAGATTTGTTTTACAAGAAAAGGTCAAGCAGATTGCTCTGGGGGTTCAAAGGAGAGAGAAGTCACTTCAGTGAAAGAGTCAGAGAGGCCCGGGATTGCTGGGAGCTTTCTCCACAGATTTTGGTGGGGGGCGACAGTGGGAGGGAGCTCTTGGAGGGTGTGGCTTCAGCAACCAGGAAAAGTGTGGAACAGCAGTGAGTGTTCCTGGGGAACTTGGCCCGGATAGTGGGAGATTGGGCTGTCAGAGATTACAGCCAGGCTAAGAGGTTGTATTTATTTATTTATTTATTTATTTATTTATTTAACTTATTTATTTTATTTGTTTATTATTTTTTTTGCGGTACGCGGGCCTCTCACTGCTGTGGCCTCTCCCGATGCGGAGCACAGGCTCCGGACGCGCAGGCTCAGCGGCCATGGCTCACGGGCTCAGCCGCTCCGCGGCATGTGGGATCTTCCCGACCGGGGCGCGAACCCGCGTGCCCTGCATCGGCAGGCGGACTCCCAACCACTGCGCCACCAGGGAAGCCCCGAGGTTACAACACGACGGGGAGCTGTTGGCAGTTTGTAACCAGGGAGTTCTAGGTTTGAGCTCTAGTTGGGGAAAACTGACGCGCTGGTAGCCTGCAGGAGGGCCAAGGGGGAAGGAAGAGGGGGGCACTCAGGCTGGGGAGGCAAGGTATGACCTCTGAGGCCTCTGGTTCCAAAGTCCAGTCAAGAGATAACGAGCCAAAAAAAAAAAAAAAAAAAAAAAACGGAAAGGGAGCCGCTGTGGTGTCAGAAGGGCTGCCTGCAAGACAAATCGCAGAAATAGACCCACAGGAGTTGGCAACTGGCGGCACGGAGGGGAGAAGAGAGAAGCTGGAATCAGAGATGACTTCAACATTTCAAGCCTGGGTGACTAGGAAAGTGGTGGTGACATTAACAGAAATGAGTGAGGCAGCAGGAAGAGCCATGTGGGGCCGGGGGGAAATAATGAACTTCAATTTGGCTCTGAGAAGTTGGACGTGTCATTGCATCATATAAGGAAAGGTGTCTGCCCGGCAGGCAGTGATGCCGTCCCAGCCGGTAAATACCATAAACACAGCCGAAAGGTCAACGGTAAAGTGAGAAGCACATCTCTAACATACATGGCAGACAAAGGTTAATAACCTTAATATGGAGAGAGCCCTGACAAGCCAGGCCAATTTAACACTGGACAGAGGATCTTACAGTCAATTCACATGAGGCTAAACACAAACGGCAAATTAATGTGCTGCAAATATATTAACCTCTCTAGAAATCGGGTAACTTCAAATGAACACAGAAAGTTATAACTTTTCAATATCAAATAAGCTCAAACCTTCCCCTTCCAAAAAGACTAAAACTGCATTTGTAATGGTTGCAGAAAAGTAGGTGCTTACATATACCTTTAGTGAGACTTCTGGGAAACTAGTTTGACAAAATGCACTGAAAAGCACAAATCCTTTAACCCAGCCATTCCATTTTGGGGAATTTATCCTAAAGAAAGGATCGTGGATAATCTTGAGCACGTAGCTGTACGAATTTTGTGACGACACTATTCGTCATGGCAGAAAATAAAGAGTCAACCTGGGGGTTCCATGAAACAGAACCGATTGTACAAACTACAGTGCATCCACACTGGAGGCTACACAGCCACTTCAAATGTCACAGAAGAGTGTTTAATGACAGAAACGCGATCGTGACAAACCGTGGGTTGAGGAGAACCAGTGGGAGATGAGTAGACAGTGTGATCGCATTTTTAGAATTAAAACGTTTTCATGCCTGTGACTGAGGAGGGGAAGGCACTGGGATGGGCCGCAATTGTCACGGTGCTTGTTCACGGGGCTGTGAACAGTGCATGCTTTCCTTCCTTGTGCTTGTTATATATATATATATATATATATTTTTTTTTTTTTTTTTTTTTAATTTTTGCCCAAAAAAAAAACCAAATTTTTAATATGCGTTTCCATAATGTTGATGTTAAGGATCTTTTCACATATTTATTGGCCTTTTGTATATCTTTTTTTTTTTTTTTTTAAATGTATGCCACTAACAAGTACTACATTTGTAAACAGCCAAAAGTAGAAATTTGGAAGTGTGATCCCAGACCTTGGATGGGAAACTGAGGCTGGCTCTCTGGATTTGGAAACCATCTGCAGAGCGGAGCTGAGGGGTTCACTTGGGAAAGACCTCCAGGGAGGGGGTAGAGGGAGTGAGGATGGGGCAGGGAGAGAAGCAGGAAGCATCCTTCTCTGGGGACCTTGGAGGTACCAGGGGACCTGGGGGCAGAGGCTTGGGAGGACGTGTCCTCATGCCTCCAGTTCTGTGACTGCCCCTCCTCTAAAGATGTGTGACCCAGGCGTTGTACTCCAGTGACCAGACGACGGCACTAAAACAAAGCCAACCTTTGCCTAGCCTCATGCGTCCAGAGGACGCTGTGTTCAGGAAGTTGTGCAGTCACCTCTAAAGCTGGAGGAGGCTCTGCGCGTGAAGCTCACCCCAATCTTGACTCCCTTTAAATACATTAAAGAGAGAAAAAGTCCCAGCTGGACCAGGCTCTTGCACGGTCAAGGTCACAGGGGCCTCCTTGCACCCCTGAGCTCCATTCAGCTCTGAGTCCAAGGTCCCTTCCACGGGGTCCCCTGAGACTCTTTGTCTGGTTCTGGTAACATATCCACATGGTTGTCTCCAGCCTTGGCCTGCCCTGTCCTGCTCTCCCCCTTCC